CCCCCCCCCCTTTTTTTTTTGACTTCTCACAGACGTGCTTCGATACTTTGTCAAATACATGTACGAACTTTCAAGAGGATGGGTTTCAAAATGTAGAAAAAGTTTAATTTAATTCCACTTCTTTTTTCTGTTCATTTATTCCCTTTCACAGACATGCTTCAATATTTTGTCAAATACATGTACGAACTTTCAAGAAGATCGGTTCCAAAATTTACACCAAAAAAGTTTCATTTAATTTCACTTCTTTTTTTCATCTTTTTCCGCTCTCACAGACATGCTTCGATATTTTGTTAAATACGTGTACGAACTTTGAAGAAGATCGCTTCCAAAATGTTGAAAAAAAGGTTTCATTTAATTTCACTTCTTCCCCCTCCTCCCCCCTCCCCTCCCTTTTTTTCGACCTCTCACAGACATGCTTCGATATCCCGGGCGTCCTCGACTGCAATATGGTCTCCCAGGGCTGCGCGGCGTTCTGCAAACAGACGTGTGGGTGTTTCCAGACCTGTGTGTCTACCTGTGCAAGAGACAACGACCCCTGTGTCTTTGAACAAGGACAAACACCCAACACATTCACGGTAGGCAGATTCCTTGATGTTGTTGTAGTTGTTGTTGAGGCTGTTGTTAGTTTGTTTGTAGCTGTTACTGTTGTTCGTTAGTTTGTTTATCGTTGTTGTTGTTGTTAGTTTGTTTGGTGTTGTGCGTGTGTGTGTGGTAGCCTATCCGTTCGAAATATCTGGAGCTCCGAAGAGCGTGCTCTTCGCCAGGGCCACTACCTCCCTTGGGTAACGTGTGAGGCAGTCCAACCTCCCTGAATCCTTCCCGAAGAGATGCCACCGCCGTTGTTGATGTTGTTAGTTTGTTTATTGTTGTTGTTGTTGTTAGTTTGTTTGTTGTTGTTGTTGTTGTTAGTTTGTTTGTTGTTGTTAGTTTGTTTGTTGTTGTTGTTGTTGTTAGTTTGTTGTTGTTGTAGTTGTTGCTGTTGGGGGGTGGGTGGGAGAAGGCAGACTGACCAGAAATCTGTGACCTTTGATCTGATTCGCTCACTGTCATCGAGCACATCTGTTTCGTTACAATTTATAGAAAACATTTAGTCGCTTTTAACAGCTTAGATTTCGGGGGTTTCCAGACATCTTGACCTATAACAAAAAAATGGCATTGCCCTACTTATAGGAGAAGTTTGGTTTCATTTATGTGTGTACTAGTCTGGTTATAGAGAAAACTCCCCTTGCTTTTAAAGAAACTGAATAAGGGGCAAAAAATTTAACTTCAATTTTCTCAAAACAGCCTTTTTTGGGATAGCCCCTTTGTGCTTAAACGAACAAGTGTGACGGTGCTGACAAAATAAGTTACTTTTCGAATTTCAGCCCAATGGCTATTGAATTGTCAAATCAGTAAGATCAATTTGTACAGTTTATTAGTGTGAAATGATAATAGAGATGTTTAACTTGAAGAAAATAACATCACTAGGATAGGAAACTTTTAAATCTGACCCCTGCGTCGATGTCCGGTCGATATTCCCATATTTTGCAAGTTACGAGAAGTAACTCATTTTGTCAGCAAGCAAGCAAGCCTCACACTTTATAGCACCCTAATTTACGTTTGGTATTTACTGCGATTACATGATTGTATACAATATTTTGCATTCCCATGACATCCTGTTTAAAAAAATAGCATCGGGTGAAAACCGATAAAACTGACCACAGTATCGATTGTCAGCACGTTATTTCGTTATGTATTAATAGTCCTTATTGCGACTATGTATTTCATTCCCAGAGGACATCCTGTGAAAAAAAAAATAGCATCTGCTGAGAACCGACAAATCTGACCACAGTGTCGATTGTCAGCACGTTATATATGTGTCATGACGTGATGGAATAAGGCGCTCGTCAATTTGGGGGCATTATGGAGTTATTTTTATCATCTAAAAGGTTGTTCAGGTTCCTTGCTTTCGATGAGAAAATATCCATTTATCTTGAATAGAAGTCGAGATATCTGCGATTGAAGGAGGTGGGGTCACCTGGTTTTAGAAGTAAAATTAGCCAAAAAATGGCCGCCAAAGTTAGGTGACTTCCAGAGCTAAAGAGGCCCTGGAAACTGCAAATTAACATTTTCTTAGAGCCTTAAATCAATGTTTTTCCATAAGAATCCATACATAAAAGTGTTTGTGAATGAACATACAAGGTGTTGAGCCAAAAAAACAAAAATCCCAAAGAAATTTCCAAACTGGTCGAAAAATGCCGCTTTCGCGGATTTCATCATTTTGACGAGCGCCTGATTTCACCACGATGCCTCACATAATAATGTTTAGTTCTTACTGCAACTATAATTATCCTCCCGAGGATATCCTGTGAAAAATAATAACATCGGCTGAAAACTGACAAACCTTACCACAGTAACGAACAAAGCAACAACAAAACCTCTGGATCTAAATGTTCAGTTGTTAGGAACGTCGTGTGACGTCACCAGTTTGTGCCCCTGGTGTGTTTGTTAACATAACAAGTCGTATAATAAACACCTCAACACATTAGAAGTAACTGGAGCAACAAATCTTACCACAGTGTCGATTGTCAGCGCGTTATCTATGTTTAGTACCTACTGCGACTATGTTTTTCCTTCCCAGGACATCCTGTGCTCTTACAGCGAGGCCATCTGTGACGGGTTCTGCGTGAGTAACTGCCCCGGACAGGTGTTCTTCGACTTCCTCAAGGCCACTGTCGGACCTCTGGCTGCTTCCTAAAAAAGCAAGCAACCAACAACCAACTTACAAACAAGCAATGACAAAACGGCCAATCCGGTGGAAACACTCTATGTCCTCGATACTTTCCATTTAGTTCTACCTCTACATTATTCATCTAGCTGTCCCCGTGGTTTTATGCACCCCGCATAATTTAGCAAAATTTGATCATTTTTTGCAAAATTTCTGATAATTTACATTTATCATTCTTTGTTAAAATTAACAGAATCTCATAATTTCACATTTTTGGGCTCAGTTTGCATAATTTCAGAATTGTTCTTGCCTAAAACGACGGGGACAGATATAGTAAGATCAACCAATACGTTGACAGTCTAAGGAATCCATATTTGTTACAGTCGCGTTACTGTTGTCATCATTTAAAGTAATATTGTTGTTATTATTAGTTTTTGTGTGTGTTTAATTTGTCATATCGTTACGTCGGTAAATAAGAAGGTATGAGGTAGATACTTGAAATGTTGAGATAGATAGATAGATAGATAGATAGATAGATAGATAGATAGATAGATAGATAGA